GTGCAACAGTTTTAAAATGTTATTTTCTTGGACTTATTTTTTAAGATAATATCAGCTCCTTATGACTTATTTGCCTTCAAATATGTTTTCTTACTATTTAGGCTACATGTATGAGTTATAATAAATTCCTAAAGGTGAATTTCAAAGCAGGACCTTCATCCAAAAATTATTGTTTGTCACAAGCAATTATATCTGAATGATGAATTTTTATATAATTTTTGAATTTAGGAAACTAATTGTCATAAACTGTGTCTTTTTATAAGAAAATAACCATATTTCAATTTAAAAGTTTTATAATGGTTTCATGTCATGCATGTTATACTAATCAAATTATTATAACTGTTATTACAAACAATTAATTGTGCTGAACTCCTGACATGAATTTTCCACAACAAGCAGTTTTGCACATTTTGAGGTTAATTTTTATGATCCAACCTTTGAATGAATGAAAGATGTGAAAGATGGTTGTGAAACTGAACTTTATTATCACTGAACTAGTATATATATTTGTTTAGGGGCCAGCTGAAGGACGCCTCCGGGTGCGGGAATTTCTCGCTGCATTGAAGACCTGCTGTTGTCTGTTCTGTGGTCGGGTTGTTGTCTCTTTGACACATTCCCCATTTCCATTCTCAATTTTATTTAGAAGAAAACCAGACAGGCTAAGTGCATACAAACACACCATCAAAGTCAACAACAACTTCAACTTTGATGAGCAGAAAATTGAGAAAAACTCTGAAAGAAGATCCACCTAAAGGACACATTAGACAAATATAAGCAAAGAAAACAAAACAATGTAAAATTAAATTACAAAGACTTAGACCTGAAGACAAAAACACAGATGGAGAAAATGAAAAAAACAAAACAGAGATTGGCAACAGAAGAGAAGAAGACAATTGACACAAGCCAAAAAAGTTGCAAACCAACAGAAAAATGTCCAGTCAAGAAGCAAAAGTACTGGTGCAGATACACTTTCTAGAAAAATCAGAAAGAAAAGTCAAAGTATAAGGAAAATTCTTCCTTCTTCAACCCAAACCTTGGCCTAAAACAATTGAATACATTGTATCCACAGCTACACCAAGGCAGTTGTAAGAACTAATCAGTACTGATGGAAGTGTGCAAGAAATTGATGGGTGCCGAAGTGAAAACAAAGTTGAGAGACCCCTTATAGATCTGGAAACTGTTGAAAAGAAACTGGCATTTTCAAAAAGAAAAGAATGCTACCTGAAAAGTTTAGAACTAAGGGACTCTTTGAAAATGCCATTTTCTTTTGAACAGTTTTCAGATTTTTGAGGGGTTCCTCAACTTTGTTTATACTTCAACATGTTCAATACTCATCAATTTCTTGCACACAGCTGCCATCAGTTCTCATTAATTCTGACAACCACCTTGGTGTAGCTGTGCATGGATATGATCTGCTCAATTATTTTAGCCCAAGGTTTGGGATGGTCAGGAAGATAATGTCTTATTCTTTGACTTCTCTTTCTGATTTTCCTATGTATTGTAACTGCATCTGTACTTCTGCTACTTGACTGGACAATTTTCTGCTGGTTTGCAACTTTTTTTAGCTTGTGTCAATTTTCTTCTTCTCTTCTGTTGCCACTTTCTCTGTTTTGTTTTCATTTTCTCATATGTGTTTTTAATTCTGGTCTATGTCTTTTGAATTTAGTTTTACATTGTTTTGTTTTCTTGTACTTTCTTTGTTTATATTTGTCTAGTTTGTCCTTCAGATTTCGATCTTCTTTCAGTGTTTTTCTCAATTTTCTACTCCTCAAAGTTGAAGTTGTTGTTGACTTTGATGGTGTGTTTGTATGCACTTAGCCTGTCTGATTTTCTTCTAAAGTTCAGTTTCACAACCACCTTTCCCATCTTTCATTCTTTCAAAGGTTGGATCATAAAAATTGAACTCAAAATGTGCAAAACTGCTTGTTATGGTAAATTCATGTCAGGAGTGCAACAAAATTAATTGTTTGTTATAACAATTATAATAATTTAATTAGTATTACATGAAACCATTATAAAACTTTTAAATTGAAATATGGTTATTTCCTAATCAAAGGACAAAGTTTAAGACAATAAGCTTCCATAATTTGAAAATAATATGAAAATTCATCATTCAGATATTTTTGCTTGTGACAAAACTTAATTCTTGGATCAAAGTCCTGCTTTGAAATTCACCTTAAGAATTTATTTTAACTCATACATGTAGCCGTAATAGTTAGAAAACATGTTTAGATGCAAATAAGTCATAAGGAGCTGACATTATCTTAAAATATAAGTCCAAAAAAATAACATTTTAAAACTGTTGCACTCCTGACATTAAAGAATTGGCTCAAAAAGATAAATTCCTTGTTTATCAGGCTACTCTTTGGGTGCAATCTTGTATCTAGTATAGTATCTTTTGAAAAATAAAACAGAACAATATGTTGGCTTTTGTTTTTATTAGGTGCGAGTCTTTAAACTTCAAAGTTGCACTCCTGACACTCATAGGGAGGCCTTATTTACTTGACTCTCACACATTATTTATATCAATAATCAGGTAAATGAAGTATTCATTCTGGAAAGGACAAATTTGTTTTACAGGATTGACTTTTGTTTATGTTTAGGTGTGATTCATTTATTAAAAAATCATTCTATTCCTCAGTAGTACTAATTTATGTGTTGCACTCCTGACAGGGCACTACTTTTTTTCAAAACACATCTGTATCAAAATGGTTTAATGGAGAAGCTTCATTCTAAGCTAAAATCATCACTAAGACATAATTGTTGTAAAACAAATTAGAATTTAAGGCACATACCTCCATACAACAATTTGCTGTGTCTTTAAAAAAAAGTATTTTCTCAAAATGTCACAAAAAAGTGTTGCACTCCTGACAATTTTGGCATCTTTTTTTAACGTCATTTTTTTAATACTTGAGATTTTCCAAAGATATTTTGCAGGAATATTCTACACATCAAGCCACATCATTTGAAATTACTTTATTCAATCAAATTATCAGTATGATTGATAAATATTGCTTTATATGCAGGGAACCATTTATTTTGACTTTGCCCCACATACACTGGACGAGTCACATGCGATTGAGTTTGAAAAGTTACTAACAGGCAACAATCTACTTTTAAACCAATATCTTTTGGAAGCTCATCAGGTAGCACTTGCTTTATTCTAACAAATGAAAGTGTGCAGCATTACCATTATAAATGTTATAATTTGCATATCCAAAATATGGCCTATAGGGTCTAAGGGTTTAAGGTTCATGTGGACCCTTCGTCTAAAATGGCTGCATTTTCACCTCAAAATTTACTCTGAGTACAGACAAACCTGTGCATCTGGAAAAGTTTTAAGGCATAGCATGCCCTAGATAAATAAAATTCAAATATATTTTATGTTTTAGAAAATTAAAAACTTAACCGGATTTTGCAGTGCACTTTTTTTCATTCCTCCAGAAGGTGCCAAAATAAACTAAGTTGGGAAAGAGGTTTGAGAACTTCCCCACAGGTAATAATTGAAGTGAACTGTTTTGATTGACATGGACAATAGATGGACAATAGATACCTGACAATAATTGGTGATTTAAACTGTGTATCTGAGTGGACCATATCAAGTGAAACTCAACTGTTTGTTAATTTTATCATCTTCTGCAGGGACGAAAAAAAGTGCACTGCTAAATCCAGTTAAGTTTTTAATTTTCTAAAACATACCATGCATTAGAAGTTTATTTATCTAGGGCATGCTATGCCTTAAAACTTTTCCAGATGCGCAGGTTTGTCTGTACTCAGAGTAAATTTTGAGGTGAAAATGCAGCCATTTTAGCCAAAGGGTCCACATGAACCTTAAGTCAAGTGATGACTTTTGCTTTTTTAAATAAATTGACAAACAAGAACTCAAATAACCTTTCTCTAAATCATCAATATTGCCAATTACGCTTCCAATAGTCCCTAAATTAGCCATTTTCACCAAGTTGTCTGCTTGGTATATTTTTGTAGAAAAATTATCATGTGATAGTCATTGTCGATAAACTGTTTCCGTCTAGCATAAAGTTAATGTTTATCAAAACGCATTTTTGATGTGAATCTACAGCTTTTCAATTTGGTGTATATAAAAAGCGGAACGCATCAAGTCTAGCTTCCATTGAATAAAAACATACGGATAAACCAAAAAATGCGGATATTTTGTTTTCACTCTGTACTGTTTGTGGGATATTGTTGGAGACAATGGTGATCGGATTAATGTATACGACAAAGAAATTTTGCACGAAATGCAACGTTTATATCTATACTGGAAATCTTATTTTTTGGCTCGCATGTCGAACACGCGTTAAAACTTTTGTTTGTAAACATATCCTTACAACATTTTCCGTTTTCAAGTTATCAGTTTAATCTTGGAAGGGATATATATAAATATATAGAGTTAATATATCTACTAGAATGTATTTGTGTGGTATTTTATATAATGTCTATTGTGAAATTTTGGTGCCAAACTTTGACTTTTTATTAACTTGAACATTAAAATATTCAGTATTCTTCTCGTATTGATTATCCCTGAGACGTTATATATAGTAGTCTCTGATTATCCTTATCCGAGTAAAATATAAATATGTTTAAACATGTTAAACAAGTAAGAAGAGACATACCAAACTAAGTATATAATCATAGTTTCACCATATAGCACAACACGGATTGAAAAAGCACTTTAGTGCATTATTGAACATTTGTGAGAATTCCGCTCATACGTATCCTGGCTTCAAATGCTAAATTTGAAAAGTAAATTTTAACTTTCATAGCTTACCAACAAGGATTTATAGTACTATAACTATCAAAAAGCATTGCATGCACACCAATTATAAAAATAAATTATATGTAATTGAAAAATAACAACAAGAATATAAACTAAAAATACACGAATTTGTTTTTATACAAATATGAAATAGAATTAAAAAAAGATAATGTATAGCAATGCTGCTTTTTCACTTAAAAAAAACAGGGTTAGATGTGTCATTTACCTTCGTGTATGTGTTCTGTAGTAACTGTAGAGTACTCCTGTTTGTCATTATTTAATGTCTCCTTGGTATTATTCTGTAAAAACAAAATTGTTGTCAATTCGTAAGCAAGAATTATAGGAAATGCATACTGTAAGTCAGTGAGACAGCAACCCAACCACACGATTAATCAAAAGACAACTATTGGCCTCGCCGGTGCATCACTGAAGCCGGAGACATTTATGTTCGATTAAATGCGAATCTGCTGCAGTGAATTGTTACTGTTCATGTTATAGCCTGCTTTGTCATTGTTCTCCACCTTTTTCCTTATTCCACCAAACTCAGTACCTTAATAGCTTTACTGAGGGGGTTGGGGGTCTTCAATGGATTAGAAATCAAATTTGCCAACGTAAGTCCATGTATAAGGACGTCAATGATCACAGTAACCCAATTACACAATTAACTTCAAAAGAATACTGTAGCCTGCATTGTCGACATTCACCAATTTTTCCTTATTCCATCAAAATCATTACCATAATATATATAGCTTCGTGTATTATTTTAAAGTCAGAAAACGATGGAAAAAGATCATTAGTTTTACTCAGATTGTCAAGGGTAAATATGCATGTGACAAAAACTACACAAATAAGAAATAGTTAGTTTATCAAAAGATCAGATACTTTATTGTTTCTTCTTTTCCCCAACAACACTTGGACATGCTACTGATCTTCAGAGAAATTGATTGATTTATCGTTAGAATTTTACGCCAAAGCAGAATAAAAGTCTACACCGAGACGATGAACTGAATAAGCAATGAAAAAGGGGAGTAGGATTGGACACAAAAGGGCAACATAGTTTGAATCCCCCATGGACATTTATAGGGAGTTGAATAGAGTAGGAACATATAACTTCAGCATCCGCAACCATGAAATAGGACTAGCCGTCAACTTATGGAGGCAGGGTCTTTGTCGTGCAAGGAGAGTAGAACTCTTAATTAAGAACAAACATGAGAAAGGGAAATTCACGTCAAGGGGAAAAGTCGAGCTATGAAATTCGGGATTTTACGAAAAGCGTTTTATTGTCAATATCGACAATCGGCTCGCTTATCTAATATTAATAAAAGAACAGCATTCTAATGTCCACCTCCGATTTTTCCAAGGGCAATAGCTCCAATATTTTTTTTTTGTGATTCTTTAAACTTTTTCACGATCAGCAATGAAAACGGATGGAATGTTCACTAATTTATAGGCCCATTCTTGTTTTTGAATGAAACGAAATTCATATGGAAGTAGACACATGGGACAATACCACTGCTGGTGAACGTTTCGTACACCAGGTTATCACCAACCGAGTAGTCAAATATCATTGAAGCGGTCTTTAATGTAAATTAACTGTTCATGAAATGTTCAAATCATTCGGAACACTAATGTTTTTCTATCCCAGACACAACTTAGGGGAATTTTTGGTTTTCAAAGCTCTCAGTCAACTTCGTATTTGATTTGACCTTCAAAATGTTTTGATTTCAGCGGCACTGGCAAGTTCCGTGTAAACGAAATGCGCGCTTGGATCGAGTTTTTAAATTATAATCTGAAATCAGGAGTTGTGGTATGATTGCCAATGAGACAACTATCCACCAGATACCAAAATGACGTAGATGTTAGCAACTATATATAGGTCGCAATACGGCTTTCAGCAATGCGCGTAGCACATGATGAATAGAAGGTATGAAAGGCTCCAACATAACAATTCAAACGAGAAAACCATCGGCCTGTATGTACAATACAGCAAACGATAAACAAATATGATACAGTAATAAACATACAGAATAAATCTGGATTTTTAGCAACACGAACCTTGGTACCAAGTATCAAGAAGCTGTAATCTGAGTTGCTGATACAAAATAAAGTACTACAGACATTTGTTACGGACGGACGGACAGACGGACGGATACACGTACGAACAGAAGAAAACCAGTATACACAATCTGAGATTATTATAACACATGTTAAAGTAATCTGACACAATCCAACCTCCTTTGCAGCAGACGTATACTGGACAGTTTTGTGTATGTCACAAAATAATATGATATTCAGTCAAGAAATCACAATATCAGATAATTAGTGGAAAACGTATACAATTCATCGTTTCAGAATCTCAAGAATTATGGTTAATTTCATTTTTAGAACACCAAAATTATTTAAATACTATGATTGGTAGAGTATCCATAATCATAACGTTTTGGTGTACACTTTTGAAAATATTGTTCAGCGTGAATTAGATTCTGAAGCTGCAAGTTTTCTTATTTCTCATGGCTTCCACTATCATGACATATGTGTCCACCATTCTTTCATCTTTTCATAGAAATGACCCTTATTTGAATGAAATCCTATACCTTCTAGCACATTAAGTTTACGGTATTATCTGTCTCCCCCTTTTTTTATTGATCTCTGACATGTACATACTTTTTTACCAGCACCTCAGTTGCCCAGCAATTAAACTTATTTTATATTTCATATATAATTCGCGTAAAAAATTTGAATGTTAACAAAATACCAAAGAACATAAAATCAGAAGACGAAAAAGAAACTGCGCAGTGCACTTTAAAAGGAATTTAACTATTTTCAATGAACTTAAATAATTCACTTCAAACCTGATCGTTGTCTGTGAACTCAGGGAAATGGTGTAACTCCTTGTGTAATCCCTTGTCATGCTTTTTACCAGGCATGTTTGTAATAAAGTTCCCAGGAAATCATATATACATGTATGTAACGATACACATCCGGATGTGATTATTTATAAAAGGAAAATAAATTATGACTGAATTATAAAGAAAGAAGATAAACTATCGACCTGTTTTGATAAAAAGTTTATTACAATTACATAAATATCGCAATCTAACCTTGATAGCAGGGGGCCGGCACGCACGTCAGAACCGTTATATGTAGTAAACGCACTTAAACAGGGTGAAATACACTGCCGGAAAAGATTATATATACACTGTACTGTTACGCATTCTTACTTCCGTAAGATACTATAACGAGACTGAAGTTCCATACATGGTACTATAGACGCTAGGAAAGTTGTGTTCCTACATCCAATGAAATATTTATTTGAAAGAAAAAAAAAGTTCTTTCATATGACATACAATTTCGACGGATTCCGTTAAAAAATACTAACTTTGCAGGTTTTCAAATACCCAGTTTGTCTAAATCGGTTTATGCTACATAAGCTTGATTGTTTAAACATTCGTCCAATTATTGCAACGTCTTCTCGGTGTTTTCTTGCAATTTTGATATACTTTCTTTAGGAACAATCTCGATCAATACCATAGTCATAATGAATTCTATGAAATATTTGCTACTGTACGATAAGTAAACAACAATCAATTAGCCAATCTATCTCAATGCGGCCATTTTTATTGACAGAAGTTTGAGTGTGTGCTGGCGCAACTTTCAGCTCTACCTTTTGCTTAAACATTGCGGCCAGCTTTTATTGGCGGGGAAGCCGCAGTACCTGGAAAACGAAGATCGGAGTCCAATACACCTCACAAAAGCATGGTTCGAACTCATAATCTCAATGTTGAAAAGTTATAACTTTCACCGTAGATGAACTACTTAATTAGAACACTCGGCCATAAACGCCTCATTGGTAGAAAAAATATGTTACATTTGCCGGGGTTTAGACACCTCTCCGAGTAGATAGGAATACATATACCAGTGACCAGTTTGCTTAGTATTTTTTTGTAAACTTTCGTGTACATTGTATTTAACTTGTGAGCGGAGCGAGGTTTGGATAGGATTTGGATACCGTATCATAGAGATAATAGTCTGTGTGATCTTTATATTTGTATATCAAAGTACGTACATCGTAGATACGGTAGACAAATTCAAGTATAATGTGGAAATAATAAGCGTGTGCATCAAATTATGATTAAATTTCATTATAATTGTTTTCTTTAATCTACATTGTTTCCTGGTCCTTTGATCTTATTTTAATCAAACATCTTTCCTTTGCTTTACCCAGCAAAATACTCCTACTATCTTCTCATACCTAGCCATATATACTTATATAGTCCGGTCAGATTGACGTGCACGATATAAGTATATTTCACATATTATACAGACGTCCAAGGCGCGAGTGGTCAGACCAATATGCGAATATTGTCAAAATTGTCCAGTAATCTGTTCAATTTAACGCGCACGATATAAGTATATTTCGTTGTACATATTATAATGAGTCTGCCGGGACGTCCAAGACCCGAGTGGTCAGACCAATATGCATATATGGTCCAGATTGTCTTTACAATTTGGACCATACAGGTTGCATTCCCAAATAAGGCTGTGTACATATAAAATACAGGTAGCTTGGACATCACACACGTTGGCAAAATTAATGCAACTTATATTTAGTCTCGATCCTGGACACCCCTTTCGACTAGGATTATCTCGGTGTCTGCTACTTGTGTCACCGTATTATACAAATGAGCCGGCTAGCTTGCGCCAATGAAACCACAGTCGATAAAGAAAAAACAAAACCATGACAGGAGATTAGATTTCAAACGTCCCCCTTTTTAATCCTATCAGTACAATAACAAAACAAACATATAAGAACATACAATAAAAAAGCTGTTCAATCGGATTTTTCTAGGTCTGTTTCTTATAGGTTAGAAATAAATGTACAAGAATGATTTGTGGGGGTCGGAGCAGTCCACGAAGTTGTTATTCCTGGTGGCTCCCTTGTTTCACACTTCAATGTTGGCATTGTTCTCTGTTTAATGAATAAACCACTAAATGAACACATATGCAACATCTAAACCAAAGGTAAAATTAAAATATTATTTCATTATTCCGCTTTTATAAATGTTTGCAAAACAAAAACTCGTTTTTTTTTTTGTTGTTTTTTTTTTTTTCAAATTCGTAACTAATGTCCCTTTAATGTAACCCACAAATTTACGGGGTTATATGACCTCAAATTATGCATTAGCGAATTAATATGATTTTTTCTCCAACAACAGTGCACACGCAAAAATTTCGCTTCTGCTTTAATATTCATAATTTATGTTACGTTGAAAGTTCTTTAGTTTTAGTTTTACTACAAGTATCATAGAAACTTAACATTATCAATGATCCATAAATGGTCAATGGTCAGGTGAACCCCGTCTGCATGGCGACCATGAAGACCTTGCAAGGAACCAATATACAAAATATAGATATCCTATTACTCATGATAAGTGAGAAATTCACATATAAAAAACTAAATTTTTTCAAGCAGTCACCATGGTCACTGAACCATGAAAATGAGGTCAAGGACAACAGATAACTGACAGACGGAAACTTCGTAACATAAGGCATCTGGAGGCAAGGTAAGAAGACTCCAGGTCTACTGGCCTCTGAAATATAAAGCTTTTCAATACAAATAATTTACTCCGCCACCGCCGCCGGATTGTAATCCCTATGTCGTCGCAGGCGAGACAAAAATACTAGACGCAGTGATTTAACAACAACGGTCAATAGAATTATAACATTTGTGATATAATTAGTAAATTGTGTGTGCCAGCTGAAGCCCGCCTCCGGGTGCGGAATTTCTCGCTGTGTTGAAGACCCATTGGTGGACTACGGCTGTTTTCTGCTCTTCGGTCGGGTTATTGTCTCTTTGACACATTCCCCATTTCCATTCTCAATTTTATACAACAATTGGCAATGGTTCAACCACGGTTGCACAGCGACTTTATCACCCAGGCTTTATCATTCAACCAATATAATTCTTCGAGAAGAGCTTTTATGATTATATTTGTTTCTCGGGAAGGTACGGGTGTTGTATTGAGAAAGCCATATAATATGTTAGTCTATTTATCAATAAGTCTACTATATAGCCATGGAAATAATATCGAGACAATACTTCAATCATGAACTAGCCAAGGAGACAGATTTAAAGGACTATTCCTACTATACCTTGTTATATCTATAAGCTTTGAATATTACCACAGATAGCAGGTTGCGAAATACAACTTTAAATTAGATTCATGCACGTGGAATCGTTCTACCATAATCATCGGAGTCTCTATATTTGTGATTTTTACTAATATATGGTATCTATATTAACCAAAACATAAACGCAACATCTCCATTCATCCACGTTTACTGTCAAATTGAAAATAATGAAATATTACGTATAAAACTTTGTAATGACATCGCAATAGATAATCCTATATTCCATTTTTTTTTATACTTAAAATTCTTTATTGTTATGTAAGTAAACAAGATAATTGTTACAAATACAAAAAATAACAACGACAAAACATTCTTGTTGTTGTTATTTTTTGTATTTGTCACAAGTATCTTGTTTACTTATATGACAATTAAGAATTATATTTAATTTCTTTGCATCGACTGTCTTTTAATTCCATATAATTTAAAAAAAAATGATTGAAATGAGCAAAAATTTTGACACTATATTCCTGAGGTCAAAAACATCCAATTCTGTGAAAAGGAAGATTTAAAAAAAAAATTTAGTTCAACTCTCAAAAACCACATTTTCAATCCTATAAAGAAAAGGGTTGCCGAAATATACCTTAAGTCAGTATAGTGTATCTTTTCACTTAAAAACAAGATATGAAAATACATTTGAGTTCAATGTCTTAATCGATGATTTTTTTTTCAACAGATGACCAATTTGAAATTGACGAATCTCTGATTTTGATTTTTAACTCTTTTTTCAATGAAATTCCCATTGTCGCCACTACCATATAAATTTTTCTTTAAACTCCTGGATTAATTTCAAGGTTTTAAATAAACTAGAGTTTTTTTTATAATATTAAGCAAAAAACTGAGAGTGTTATGTGTTATCAGGCAAAACAAGAAATTATGAAACTACTATATATATTGGAAGAAGTGTTAAGTTATTTGTGTTGTTGGGTATATATTACTGTTGTCATGAAAAGGTATTCAGCAAGAAAATGTTACGTCATTGAAATCCGAGAAGTTCACTGCTGATGAATTTATTTTTATCGAAATTTTATTGTCAAATTTTGGTAATAATCCTGTAATATTGGATTAGATACCAATACAAAGATCATATTAAATCATATTATCTTATCTTATATTCGTATTAATTTTTGAGCGGCAAAGTGTAAAATCTTGATAGGACTGGACTTAATTCTTGGACTGGACTGGACTGGGCTGGACTCTCACATGTTATTTTTTATAGCATGCACTTATTTTTTACTTTTTTTTTGTTATCTTTTTGTTTATTTACGACTGTACTTGATGCTGTTTAATTCAATAATATGATTTGAATTGACATTCGAATCCCAAACAGATGTTTTTTATCTATTAAGTTACAGATTAGAATGTCAGCATCCATTGTATTATATGAGATAGTCACAATGACAGATATATTATACTGTATTGTGTATTATATGTGTAATACATTTATCTCTTTGTTATATTGCATTTCCGGAATTTATAATTGTGAACTTTATTTCACATATCATGGGACCTGACCCTGTTTTTAAATATATTTATACCGTCCTTTTGATAAGTCCTTCATAGCATTTTAGCAATGCTTATCAGAATATCAAGTCTAGCCTGTCCCTTGTCCCAATACTCTCATTAGCAATATAAAAAAACTGATAAAACAAAGCTCAATCCTTCAATGTTTTGAAAAATAACTGTTAAAATATCCTAGCGCAATACCATGTAATAATAAATAATATTTCAGAATCAATTACTTTCATCAAACTGTGATATATCAAGTACATGCTACAACATAGGCAAAAATTCATAAAAAAAAATCAAATTTTACAAAATGCACTGATTGAACAATTAAATTTTCTCTCTAAAATAAAAGCACAATATGATACAAAATAACAAGTCAAAGTACACACCATGACACATATTCATTTTGAATTTTATAAACCCCCATTTTGAACATTTCAATTGTCTTGATTGTAATGTATGCAAACACAACTGAAAGAAAATGTTATGATTAGGAAAACAGTAGCTAGAGATCAGCCTGTTGCATTCAACATTAAAAAAAGCCCAATAGCTTCATGAAACATGATACAGGAAATCAAGGAAAACCTCTGAAACTGAGTCATTCTAATGATACAAGAGAAGACAATGGCTTAACAACAATGAACTATCTAATGTTTCCAGTTTAGTTTAGTCCAGTCCAGTCCAGTCCAGTCCAGTCCAGTCCAGTCCAGTCCAGTCAAGATTTTTTTTATCTATTCGGAACGACATCGTATCCACGCCGATTTTTATTTTGCAACTCGTGGCAGCATTTCATTTCACCCTAGAAGCACTCCTTCTGTTTTCCGTTGTACTCCGACCGAAATTTAACCTTTACCTAGAAAATGGTCACGTAAACAGCATTGGCGAAAAACAATGCACAGAAAGACAAGTGTGTTGTTTAATTTACAAACATTCTTATTTTTATTTTTAAACGAGGGAAAGCTTAAGGAAAATGGACGATAACGCTAGGAAAATCCTTAGGCTTCCGCGATGGGACGGTCATCTCAGTCATATGGTTGCCGGTGTTTCTGGGGGTGTTGTGGCTACACTCGTTTTACATCCTTTGGATTTAGTAAAAATTAGATTTCAAGGTACGTATTATTAGATATACTGTTCCCAGGTATTATGTACTGTTTGTTATGCTGTTACTGTTAGTGTTATGCTGTTACTGTTAGTGTTATGCTACCTGTTGTGTATATCTTATGAATCTGTTTCGAGAACCTGTACGTGAATATCGAGTTATGCAATTTGTTGTAACGTTGATCTACTTATGTCAGGTAAATTTTACAAAGCATCTCTCAAAGCCATGATCATGCTTTAACTGGCTGATGACACAGTGTTTGAATTCCTAGGCATCGGGACAATCTAGTCCAAATAATTATAACTTCTTAAAAGGCTATTTTAATTTTTTGCTGTGACCCTGCCTACCATTGTAGGTAGGAAGACGCCACAGCAAAAAATTAAAAGAGCCTTTCATGACCGGAAGGCTGACAGCAAAAAATTTAAATAGCCTTTCAGTTTCAAGACCTCATAATGACATGTATTTGGACTAAGGACAAACTATATTGTTAGTTATTGTCACCCTTGTAACGCGTTGCGGGAGACATCAAAATACCAGGCGTCCATCCATCCGTCCAGTCTTGTTAGCGCTCTCATAGGTACAATTCTTGCCAGATTTTTATAAAACTTATACCATGTATACTATAGGTTAATATCAGCAATATCTCGGACAAGTTCTATAATGGTTTTTGATCGACTTTTTATGCCCCATCTAGGGGCATTATGTTTTTCTGTCTGTGCGTGCATCCGTCTGTTCATTCATCAGTCCGTCTGTCCTGGTTCAGGTTAAAGTTTTTGGTCAAGGTAGTTTTTGATGAAGTTGAAGTCCAATCAACTTAAAACTTAGTACACATGTTCCCTTTGATATGATCTTTCTAATTTTAATGCCAAATTAGAGTTTTGACCCCAATTTCATGGTCACTGAACATAGAAAATGATGGTGCGAGTGGGGCATCCGTGTACTATGGACACATTCTTGTTTGAAAAGAGTTATGCCCTTTCAAATATTAAATATATGGAAAATGGCCTTGTTAGCGCTCTCACGTGTACAATTCTTGCCAGATTTTTATAAAACTTATACTATAGATTATTATCAGCAATATCTCGGACAAGTTTTATAATGGTGGTCGATCGACTTTTTTAAAAGAGTTATGCCCTTGGAAATATTAAATTTATGGAAAATGGCCTCGTTAGTGCTCTCATGGGTACAATTCTTGCCAGATTTTTTATAAAACTTATACTATAGGTTAATATCAGCAATATCTTGGACAAGTTTTATAAAGGTGGACGATCAACTTTTTTTAGAAGAGTTATGCCTCTTGGAAATATTAAATTTATGGAAAATTGCCTCATTAGCGCTCTCGCAGGTACAATTCTTGCCAGATTTTTATAAAACTTATACTATACATTGACTATAGGTTAATATCAGCAATATCTCGGACAAGTTCTATAATGGTTGCCGATCGACTAAGTCACTTTTTTAAAAAGAGTTATGCCCTTAGAAATATTAAATTTATGGAAAATGGCCTTGTTAGCGATACAAAAAAAAGTGTTTTATTTAGTTATTGCCCTTGTACCTTGGTTAGATAAAATATGTGCTACGTGGGGGACATTGGAACTCTGTTCTTTTATTAATTAAATTATAATAAGACGCAATCAGATAAATAACAATTAATACCAGTAATTAATGAAATAACAATTAGGAATAATTAATGAAATAATAATCAATTACAATAAAAAAATACAACAAACTGGTAATCACTGTGCCCACGTTGTTTCACTGAAAATGACGCAAATAATAATGTATACATGTTGAAATCATAAGAGATCTTAAAGTAACAACAAAACAAACACTGAAACAGCGGTAAAATTGAAAAGCGTTATTACAGACATTGTTTCTTTGTACAATAACGGACATGTATGTTATTTCAACAACAATTCATGACAGGAGGAGATAACTCTGTCAGAATTCCCACAACAACAGTCTGCCTGCTATTTTCTGTAATACATGTAACTTGTTTAAGTTAGACCCTTGACTGTTAAATTTCCTAAGAATTGTATTTTATCAGTTTGTTACACTGTTCTGACCAATTTTAAATCTCTTGGGGGATTTTGTGTTTGGAGCAATTTTCTGGTTTGCCGCCATCATAATCTCTAATCAAGCCCTATTACATATATTTTACTCTATTTGGGAATTTTTTTTACCTTACCTCCAACCGGTGCATTTACTGCCTGCAGCACCATTTTCAAAATTTAGACAGATTCTGAATGACAAACATGTCTTTTTTTTAATTCTTACCTGCTGTAGACGTAAAAGGCATCAGAGGTAGTAAAAATTTTCCTGAATAGAGGTAAATAGGGCTTGATTAGGGATTCTGAGGGATGCAAAACTGAAAATCGCTCCGAACACAGAATTCTTAAATGCATTAACAGCCAATTACAAATTGAATTTTCAATGAAATCCATTATCATGGTAACAAAAGAAGGTTGAAGATACATTGTACCAAAGGGAGAATCTATACTCATATAGTTGTAATTTAAAGTAAAGTCATGAAAGTGAGATCAACAAAAATATGGCAAAAAACAAGAAACGACAAAAAGATGATCAACAGTTTAAAAAACACTATCGTAAAAACTACATGTATAGACTGAGCAACATGAACTCCACTGATCAAGGTACAAATTGACTTGACTGCAGTTAGATAAATCCAATAATGTTCTTTCAGCAGGTTTTTTTTTAAGTCAACATGGTAATAAAGATATATATGGTGGAGAAAGAAATTCCTGAGTAGTGTTAAATTCACCATCACTTGATGACTGGACCCACATTCTTCAATAAGATGTGGTGGTCCATTATCTGATGGAATATTGTTAAATGCTTTTTTTATTTAATTTTATATTGTATTTTCAGTCAGTGAAGGATCAGCTGGTGGTAATGTCGTGGGAGCTGCTCGACCAGAATATAAAGGCATTGTCGATGCATTTAGATCCATCAAACAGAGTCAGGGAATGCTGGGATTGTACCAGGGTGTGACACCAAATGTATGGGGAGCTGGACTCTCATGGGGTCTCTACTTTTTCTTGTAAGATATGTATTTGATTTTGTGCTGCTACCTGCAGAAATATTTAGGTGGTGATATATGATCATGATAATCAAATTATATCAGTACATTGACATTGTACATGTAGTTAGGAAACAAAATGAAATGTTATGACCCTAATAATTTTGTACCCCTACTTCTTATTTCTTTATTTTATTTAAGCATGCCAAGTAAATTTATGTTAAACTTGAGTATAATATTTGTACATTTTTGTATTTAAGTATATTATTGATTAAGATATTTATATGGATTTGATTTCTAACAGCTTTTGTTGTTATATTGTAAGCTCTTAAAGAAGGTCTAAAAGAAATACTATACCCTTACTGGTGAGGGCTATATTTCATTCAATTTAAAAGAGAATCATCTGAACATAAGATTTATCTGTCCTATCAATATTTGATATAAAAATAAGAAGCTGTGGTATGGTTGCCAATGAGACAACTCTCCACAAGAGACCAAATGACACAGAAATTAACAACTATAGGTCACCGTACGGCCTTCAACAATGAGCTCAGCTATGAAAGGCCCTGAAATGACAAATGTAAAACAATTCAAATGAGAAAACTAACGGCCTAATTTATGTACAAAATAATGAACGAAAAACAAGTATGTTACACAGTAACAAACGACAACCACTGAATTACAGCTAGTAAACTTATATAATAAGGCAACACAAATTATATGTGTTGGGTTTCCTGCATCCAGGCCAACCCTGAAGCATTTTATTTAATTAAAAAAAAATATTAAAGAAATTGCTTTTTGTGTAGAATAACATTATACTTATGTACCTCTTTCCGCTGACTTATTTGATAAAATTGGCAATTAAATTAACCAAAATCACCTGAAAAAGAACATTTTTGGAACATAGGAAATTGTAAATTGCATCAATAAATTACTGGATATGAAGTGGAAATCTGGACCTGAGTTGATTTCTACAGATGTTTTGATAAGAAAATTTAAATGAATACAAAAAAAATCTGACCTACATGTACCAACCCCCCTTTTTTAATGGCTGAAGGCTACAGTCATATATATTTTTGGGCAGAGAAAAGACAAACATAAACACAGGGTTAGAAATTTGTAACAGCAAGATTGATCATGTGTTTATTGAAGTGGCACAATTATCTGCTACCTTATTTTTGATACCTCTGCAAAATTAAAAGAAGATGTGGGATAATTGTCAGTAAGATGGCAACCCAATGACTCACATTAAGGAAAAAATCTGGAAGTCAAGATATGGTTTAAACAATCACTGAGTCTGGAAAAATTGTAAATAAAAGGAAAATGTCAGAAAACATATGTCGCCCATATCTAAGCATTAATCTTTATTGCAATGAAAATTGGCCACTTTACTCACACAAAATCTGTTTAAGAATAATTAGGTGTGTTGGAGGAAGGAGGAAACATAGAATACATGTAGGTTTTTTTTTTATATTTCAGTTATAATGGTGTAAAAACATGGATGCAGGATGGTAATACTCAAAAGTCTTTGGGACCTCTTAAAAACATGCTTGCAGCTTCAGAAGCAGGTAAGTGGGAATATACTAAAATAATGCCAGGGGGCAGGGGCTTCTGATGTAGGATATGACGGACATGAACATTTTAATATGATTATTTTTAAGATCTATAAAAATAGAACTTACTTATAGAATTGAATCAGAAATGCAAGTACAAGGTCATCTGGGATCAAATCCATTATAATTGTGGGCTGCTTAACTGAAGCAATGCATAGCTATAATTTGTAATATTTATTATGGAAGCCACTGGAGGTCTTCAATGTACGTGTACAATGTACATGATTTTGTTAATAGATAAAACACAAGTGCACATCTCTGGTGACAGCTATTTTGTTTCCAGCATTACAAGTTGATTCTTGCATACAATGTAAGTGCACAAAAAAAAATAGTAGCTCAGAAACTATGAAAGAAAAAAAAATTTTGCTTCATATAATGGAAGAGTATATTAAAGATTCTTATTTATGCCCTCACCGTCACTTTCACCTCAATCTTAACTTTACTTTGCCTCAACCAAATGTGATAAAACTTGTACACAATGCTTATTATCACCAAACACAGTTCAAGTTTGAATTAGGGTGAGGTCATTTTCACCGTTCTTGAGTAACCCCATTGATTTTTGTTATTGAGCAACGAGAGCACTCAAACACTCGAGTACTCTCACATAACAGCATACAGAAATACATGTCATTAAGAAAAGAAAACATCATTAGGTTTGAGTTGGTACATTTACCCTTGCATGTTTACAAGTGGGTGCATCTGTGTCCCATGGACACATTCTTCTTTTATTTGATATCTAGCTGTTCCTTTCTGAAAATTTATCAAATCATTTGGAAAATGTAATTGATTTTTGACTGATAAAAATGAATTTCTTGTTCCAAAATTTCTATTTACAGATAGAGTTGAAACTATTCATTCTTTAAAACTGTTTTAGATAATCTAATATATAACATGTCCATTAATGCATTGCTGTTGTTATGTTTCAGGACTTTTGACATTATTTCTAACAAATCCTATATGGGTGACCAAAACACGTATGTGTTTACAGTATGAGGGGAATTCCCCAAAGACCAACGGCAGCACTTACTACAAAGGAATGTTAGATGGTTTACTGAAAATCTATAAATATGAAGGAATTCGGGGATTATATCGGGTATGTATATGTAATGTTTAGCTACCCTTCCATAGAATTGTGGTTATTCTAAAACCATGTTTTAAGCAAGCTTGTATTTAAAAGTTTCAGCTCTTTCATAAATTTTTCTTTTACCATCCTACAAAACTGTTCAGTTTTGAAAAGTTCACACTTATTTCAAAATCATGGGCCTTTGACAAATATTACAGTTTTCTTATCAGTTATATAAAAAATATCTTTCCTACTCTGATATATGATAAAACCATGGGATAGGGGAGATAATTCATATTTTACTGGCAATAACAGCCTCTAGGATCTTTATTTTATTGCATGAATTTTTAAAAGAGTTTTGTAGCTAAGCAAATAAATCGAATGAAACTAAACAGATGATCTTATTATTATGGCTTTACTGTCAAGCAGAAAGCTAGGTTCTAAGGCTAAACTGGCAGTTATATAAAACCATTTCAAAGGGAGATAATTCATTTTCTCTCCAAATTATTAAAAATGGCAAAGAAGAAAAAAAATCATTATTTTACTGGCAATTATAACTTGGTATATAATTTCATTTTCTAAAACATATTTCCTGCAAGATAACTTATGAATCAAATGAATTTGCAGCATATTCCCATTTCTCATATTCATATTTCACACCTTCAAAATATCTGTGATATCCACATACTGAAGGTGACATGTGTAAATAGCAAGCCTTCGGTTGAATACAGCACCATATTATAACATTGTACCTGCTATCTCTGTAATACCAAAATCACAATTATATTGATTTTAATTTACTGATATTTTTGTGCTACTTTACATTATTTGTGATATTTTTCTGCTTTCAAAGTAGTTGTACAAAATAATGTCTGGTGACTGGTCTTCAATTTATGATCTTTTAAAATTTTTGTTAATATGCAATCTACTACTACATTTTACAGGGATTTGTACCAGGTATATTTGGAATCTCCCATGGTGCTTTGCAGTTCATGGCCTATGAAGAAATGAAGACTTTATTTAACCAATACCTCAATAGACCAATAGATTATAGATTAGTAAGTTTAATGGAAAATTTTGGACCTGAAATTTATTTTTTAATATTTTATAATTGACAGAAAAGAAGATGACTAAAATCTTGAAGAAGAAGGCTTTTTTTAGCCGGCTATCTGCTTCGAAGAAAATCGAAGAAAAACAATGCTATTGATTTCCAAGATACTTCCTGAATAACATGTACATATAGCCCTAATCAGTTGATGACGAAATCATACCTTCTTACACTTATGCTTTTTTTTCTCAGGGCACTTCAGAATATCTTACATTTGCAGCATTATCCAAAATATTTGCTGCAACACTAACATATCCGTATCAAGTAGTCAGATCACGACTACAGGACCAGCATCGTAGCTATAATGGTGTGGTAGATGTTCTTAAACAAGTATGGAGGTGCGTATTATGTCAAAGGTCAATTTGGTACCCATACTTTGCAACACTTTTACAGAATTGGTCTTGCATTCTAATTTATAAAATGGTTCATCAGCTATTGTTTATAAATAAATGTCATGTTTTTAGTGAATAAAGGTTTTTAATGAATGCTAACATTTAACAAAGGATTGAACATGAAGTTTGTAGATAATTTATTTTTAAAAAAGATATTGAAGACGATGCAAGTGAACTAAATATTTTCTCATATGTCATAACAAGCATTTTTAGGCTCTTTTTAAAAAAAATGAAAAGTATGACTATCAAATTATCTGCTGTCATTTATATATTCTATATTCAAAGACATAAAATATTCTGAAATATTTTTCATTTAAAGAGTTGTGTAACATCAAGCAAAAATTTAAGTTCAGAACATGGCAAGGTGTTTGCTCACACGAAAAATAAGTTAATTTGTTTGAAAAGTGTTGCATAGTAGTACTTCTTTCTTTAACATACTACCGTGGATTCATTTATTTTCGTGGGTAACAATTTTCGTAGATTGTGGATGTTTGATGTCATGGTTTTGCCAAAGTCTGCAGAAAATTTTAAAAGCCTATTCAAAATTAAGACCTCTTTTAACGTCAACTTTGTAGTTCACCTTTATCCACTTAATCCATGAAAATTTGTATCCCACAAATTATAATGAATCCACAGTATACACCTTATCGCTATTCCCGGCTGACCGAGAATCTGTCCCGCTTGAACTTTTGACGTCATACAACAATCACTTTTCCATTGTGGCGTCAGATATTTTGTATTGTGACGTCAAAATTTTACGGGAACCTGTGTGATGGCCAGTAATGGCGGACAAATAGCAATAAGGTGTATTTAGCTTCATAACTGTTGATGGTAGGCTACTCCATGATTTGATAAGGCTTGTGATGTATTATAGTAAGAGATGACAAGATTACCAGACATAAAAACTGGTTATCAAAAGAAACTTAGGTATGAAATGAGAATCTACAAAAATATTAGTTTTAGGGAAACCAAAATTATTTGCATTCCTCTAGCAATTTTTTTGTAAAAATGATAAGTTTTCAAAAAGATAGACAAAAAAATTGAAATTCCACAGTGTATTATATAAAATGTATGCAATCAGATGATGAACACAGACAATAAAAATTTTGAAATTATATTACAATTACTATTAAAATCAACACCAAAAAACATGTTTCATGCTAGAATTGACATATTGACATCCTTGGAAATACACCATTACACCTATCTTATCAAATATAATATACAGTTCTTGTTTTACTAGTGTTATTTTTATGCCAATAATTTAACGAATTAATTATGTTGCTAACATCTACATTATCTGGTCTCTGTTGGATAATTGTCTCATTGACAATCCTACCACAACTTATTTATATTGAATTCTTTTGGGTAAATTGTATATATTATGTATTTGTTGTGTGCCTGGCATCATGCCATCTTATTTAACACAGGTATGAAGGATTGGCAGGATTTTATAAAGGTTGTGGTGTGTACATGTGGCACGTTACTCCAAATGTAATGATTGTCTTTCTAATCATGGAAAAAGTCACCAATCTGAAGAAAAAAGAGGAGAGCCTGGAAAATTGGAGTTCGGACGATTGAAATTGTAGTCTTTTGGTAGGATGATCGTTATTCTACCTGTTCACTGTGATAATTGTACCTCAGATGTTGTATCTGAAAGAGAACACTGTGAAAAATGGGACCACTCACTTTACTTTAAGCAGATACTTATTTTTAACAAAACGAATATGTGTTTTGCGCTCTTGAAGAGAAAGATCTGGTTTCAAGCCTGTTAAAAATGTCAACTGGACAAGAATATGACGAAGTCTTTCATTTATAGCATTTCCAAAGATTAAGACTTTTCCCTTAAATTTAGTGGTAGAAATAGTACTTATGAAAATATTTTTTATGTGTTTTTGCCAAGAATACATACAATGTACATTCTGTAACTACATTTTACTCTCTTTGAACACAAAGAAAATATAAGCACTTTCAGTAGTTAATTGTATCAAGGTTTCATAATTCTTTGAAACTCAGTAATTTTTTCTAAATTCAATATGATATCTGTCATTTTGACTGTTACATTGAAATTTTGTTTCATGGTCAGTATTTCTTTAAAAAAAAATAATCACTTGGAAAAAAAACAACCTTTAATTGTGTCTGTTTTTTTGTTGTTCTATACAATGATATCTTGTTGTGCTATACAATTATATCTTGTTGTACTATACAATGATATCTTGTTGTACTATACAATGATATCTTGTTCTACTATGCAATGATATATTTTTGTACTATACAGTGATATCTTGTTGTACTATACAGTGATATCTTGTTGTACTGTACAATGATATCTTGTTGTACTATACAGTGATATCTTGTTGTACTATACAGTGATATCTTGTTGTACTATACAATGATATCTTATTGTACTATACAGTGATATCTTGTTGTACTATACAGTGATATCTTGTTGTACTATACAGTGATATCTTGTTGTACTGTACAATGATATCTTGTTGTACTGTACAATGATATCTTGTTGTACTATACAGTGATATCTTGTTGTACTATACAATGATATCTTATTGTACTATACAGTGATATCTTGTTGTACTATACAGTGATATCTTGTTGTACTATACAGTGATATCTTATTGTACTATACAGTGATATCTTGTTGTACTGTACAATGATATCTTGTTGTACTATACAGTGATATATTGTTGTACTATACAGTGATATCTTGTTGTACTATACAATGATATCTTATTGTACTATACAGTGATATCTTGTTGTACTATACAGTGATATCTTATTGTACTATACAGTGATATCTTGTTGTACTGTACAATGATATCTTGTTGTACTATACAGTGATATCTTGTTGTACTATACAGTGATATCTTGTTGTACTATACAATGATATCTTATTGTACTATACAGTGATATCTTGTTGTACTATACAGTGATATCTTGTTGTACTATACAGTGATATCTTGTTGTACTATACAGTGATATCTTATTGTACTATACAGTGATATCTTGTTGTACTGTACAATGATATCTTGTTGTACTATACAGTGATATCTTGTTGTACTATTCAATGATATCTTATTGTACTATACAGTGATATCTTGTTGTACTGTACAATGATATCTTGTTGTACTATACAGTGATATCTTGTTGTACTATACAGTGATATCTTGTTGTACTATACAGTGATATATTGTTGTACTATACAATACTATCTTAGTAAGGGTCAAGGTTCAAAGGCTGTTTTCCATACAAAAAATCAAGAACGGGTGAGAATTTTCAAGAAAGAATGTTGAAACCAGAATATATATAATGCAAGCATCACAGAGTATACAAAAATGCCTTTCAACCTTTTAAATTAATTAAAATGGAATTGTTCTAAAGTTTCTGTTTTGAAAATAACTAGATAGATCTCTTTGTCTACTAATAACCGTTCATTTTTACATTTAAGTCCTTCTTTTACAAGTGTAAAGGCTGTTCCATTAAAACATGCATGGTACCCTAGGCCTAGGAAGGCACTTTGAAAATGAGATAACCATTTATAGAGGCAATTTTAGAATTTCTCTCAGGATTTCACTGTACTTGACACCCACCAACAGATTTGATTTCAAAGTGTGACTGTGTGTTTTCTGGGTCCCATGTATGTTTTTATGGAACAGCCCTAAATAAATGTGTATTTTATTGATAAAATTCCTGTCTGTACTTTTAATTGTCAGGATTTTTATAGGTTTACGGTGTAACAAGCCTCGCAAGTTATATTTATCGCTGGGTAGATAAACTATTTAGTTATTGCATTTAACCAGATAATATCAGTGTTCTCATTAGTTGCTCAGAAAAGTCTGATATTAAGTGTTTTGTGCAATTATTGAAACTGCCATGCTTCTGAGTTATTCACCACCTTATTAAAGGTAGAAATTGTCCGGCCTTCTCTGATATGAACTGTTCAGGAAAACAGAAGATATAGGCTGGTTCCCTTGAAATAAAAACTCTCATGAAATAATATGAATTACTGATAATCTCAGGAACAACACTTTTATTGCTGTCCTTAAGCTCAGAGTTGCTTAAAGGTCTTAAACTATGAACTAAGAAGCTCACACTATACAACAAGGTCAAGGTTGATACATTTAGATCTCTGTTGATTATGAATTTCACCTGAAATGATCAAGCTTTTAATTGTAAAGTCATCATAGATACCATGATTTAAATTTTGTATGAAAGTTTATCTTCCTCTAGTTAACTTTAAATGAAGACGTCCATATTTATTTATTGTGTGGTAGTATTATATTTTAAAAGCTTGAAGTAAAAAAATGAATATAAGTAACAAGGGAGGTAACTGAGATTATTTTGTGATTTTAAATAATAGATAACATTGTATATTTATGAATTTTTTTCAGGTAGAAAAAAGCAAGAATAGTAACCTCCATTTTTCTTGTATTTTCTAAAATTTTTCTATAAAAGCCATTTTTATGAGACAACTTACATAAGCTGCCTGTAGTGAATATAAAATATTTAGATCTGGCAGTCTTGGGGAAACTTTTCAGGACAAAACCAACTTTTCTTATATATACCATTACCATAGGTCTGATGTTAGGTCTTCATTTCTCTATTCTTTAATTTTTAAAGCTGTTATTCTCTATTATTTATATTTTTTACCCCTTATTCTCTATTCTTTATATTTTAGCACCCCTTATTCTCTATTCTTTATATTTTAGCACCCCTTATTCTCTATTCTTTATATTTTAGCACCCCTTATTCTCTATTCTTTAATATTTGGCCCATTTTTCTCGATTCTTAATTTTTTTGGCCCAGTATTCTTTATTCTATATCCATCTCCATCCAGCCCTTTATTACCAGGCAGAAATCTGTTATTTATAAGGACAATCAGATTTCAGAATTTAAGTAATGTTGAACATTCCATGTTTTCAAGGCAGAATGATATTATGTATATATTTGATGAAACAGTGGTTGATAATTGTAAATACTTTTTTTATCGGAAATGTGAGGTGATTTTTATGTAAATATTATAATTAATCATGTTATTTTTGTGTGAAATACTGAAATATTGAGGACAGAATCTGAATGGTGTAGGTTGTGAGACATAAAGCAGCTTAATTATGTAATTTTGATCACAGGTTAAAGCTCATTGTAGTGTTGTCTGTAAGTTAGAGTGAATGTGTTTTTAGATCTGAAATGCAGGAGCAAAATGGTGTAAATGATGAAAGAGTGGTGTGCAAGGTTATATAGAATACTGTAAATTCAGAAATTATTGCGAGGTTTTTTTATTAATGCGAATAATGCCATTGAGTGAGTATCGCAAAAATAAAAACTCGCATTATGATATCTGATATAAATAACTGTGTGAAGATTTTCCTGCAATCACAATAATTAATCTCGCATTTTTGTCCTTTCCACAAAAATCGCAATAATAAATGCACGCAATAATTTCTGAATTTACAGTACTGGGGATTTATTATTTTTCTGGGGATACTAATTTTAGTGGATTTTGGGGGTAGGTGAACCAGGAATGTTTATTGTGAAAATATGTTCCTATATTGTCTAGTCTTGAAATAGCTATTACTTTAAAATTACTTAATGTTTTTCCAGATATAATTCTATGGAAATGTTTTTGGTCTCTTTTTCCCAATGTCTCCCAGCAACACATTTTTATATTTAGATTGTTCCATTGAAAATTTTCTGAATTGCCCAAACATGAGAGGGATTTAAATAGAAATGTTGTTAAAGACCTCACAAAGAGCATTTTCTGGGACAACAATATTTTGTGACATAAAGTTTATGATTTGATGTTTGTAAATAAGATCTGTAAAGGGTAAATTATTTCATTGCAGTGAAGAAACATTTTGGTTTTTGCAGGTATGAAGGCTGGACAGGATTTTATAAAGGATTGAAACCAAATTTATTACGTGTGACACCAGCATGCTGCATAACCTTTGTGGTATACGAAAATATAATTACGTATTCTAAAAGAAGAAAGGAAAAAGAATCCAGGACAGAACCCGATGTAGAAATCGATGAAAGTTGATCAATACTTTAACATTGAAGATATTAAACATTATCCATTCAAGTGTAAATTCCCAAATATTTAGTTTTAAAGAATTTTTTAATGTGACAGTCATCGTTTTTTTGATAATTTCATAAGCATTTATGCTTGCATTTATTTTTGTCAATACATATTCCAGTGTGTGAGCTGTATTCCCCTTCTTATAAGGCCAATTCTCTGACATTGAAAGACGGCATGTGATACAAAATGGCCTTATAAGGAGGGGTATCATCTTTTATTGAGAGAGGGGAATATGTGAATTGAGAAATAATTTATGTCTGTGTAAGTTGATATTGTAAAGTGAGTTTTTGTGTAATTGCAAGTGATGGATGTTCTTGTTTACATTTTTTAAACTATTGAGATTTATTTTATGCGTTAAAATTGTATGTTGAAATTGATAAATACTGATCTGTTTTGTTTGCTACTGCAAATGGGACAATAAAAATTATGAAAAAACTTTTATTTTTAGTTAATAGTCTAGCATATTATTGAAACAATAGATTTCTGTGTAAGTGTTAGGATTTAGCCACATTAGCACTTCAGTTGATATGAAAATATAGAAATCAGAGATATAAAGAAATTAAACTGATGGTTTAACATTTTTTGAAAAATGTTTGGAAAAAGATGTTTTTTATGGTTTAACCATGTCTCAGATATTATAGACAGAAGGTTAAGTATATGTGGTGTATGGAATTATTGCAAGGTGTACATGTCTGTCTGGTAGAGTTCATCTGACCTTTACCTTCATTGGTCAATGTTTAGTATGCTGCTGGACGTTAAGCAGCCATTCATCATCATCATCAATGTTTAGTTTTCATGGTACGGTCTGTTTCTCCGGTACTATACGCATATGGTCAATTGTATCTGGTGTATAAAATGATTGTATGGTGTACATGTCTTTCTGGCAGAGTTTGTCTGACCTTGATCTTATTTTCAAGGTTCATTTGTCAAAGTTCATTTTTCTTGGTAAGGTCTGTTTATCAGATACAAGAAGCAATAAGTCAACAATATTTGGCAAATAGAATGATTGAAAGGCATACATGTTTGTCTGACAGGGTTCTTCTAAACTTAACCGCATTAACATGGATCATTGCATTGATTATGGTAAGTTATGTAATACTTGTTGTATAACATTTTTCTCTTAAGACTTTCAACATAAATTCAATCATGATCAGTAATGCAGGTGAGACATTTTATTGTGTGCACTCTTGTTGCCTATTTCAAACAAATGCTTTTAGATTTGGACTTATTGGTAAATCTTAGGTTATATATTTAGATCTTTGTGGATATTTGGTTTGTTTCATATGACAGTTTTTTTGTCTCGCCTTGATGGAGTCAAAAAGCGAGACATAGCTATACTGTTTCCGGCACCGACGGCTTTAGTTTGTGATTAGGTCTAGTTTATGGTGAACCACTAGTGGTAGGTGAATGATATTTGGTATTCAGTTGTATAAGCATTGGCACATTTCATTTCCATGGAGATTATTTGGCCCTGCCCCCTCAGTCATGGTCTATTGACTTTGAAACATTTGCTTGATTGACATGTATTAGTTTTGATTAGATCAGTTTAAGATGAACCGCTTATGCTAAGTCAATGATATTTGGTATGCAAATATATTGGAATTTGCAAATATTGTTTCCATGGAGATTATATAGCCGCACCCCCTCATCATGGTTCATTGACTTTGAAACTTTGACATAGTTTACAAGTTATTGTTAATGTTTGTGTTTAGGTTTGTTTAAAGGGAACGACTTATGATAAGTCAATGGTATTTGGTATGCAGTTGTATTAGCATTGGCACATCTCATTTCCATGGAGATTGTTTAGCCATGTACCTTCAGTCATGGTTCAATGACTTTGAATATTTGCATAACTTACATGCTAAAGTATTGCTATTCTAATTTCAACATTTGCAGTATCAAAACTACAAAAAAAGGCGAGACATATCTCTGTGTTAACAGTTTATTTTACTATTTCAAACAAAAAGATATTAAATTTAAACTTTGAAGACAAAACCATAGGTATAGAAATTAGAAATTACATATCATCAAGTCAGTATGTTGACCACACATTGTCATAAAGCATGATATTCTCTTGATGTTATTTCTCAATGGCAGTAAAGCACACTCTTTGTGATGTTCATCTTGATCATAGAGGGGTTTTAAATATAAATTTGCTACTACTTAACAATACTTTAGTACAATACCAATTGCAACTAAAATTTTCAATTACAAACACGTTTTGCAAGATCTCAACATTGACGACTTCAAGTCTAAACCTCCTGATTGCACCTGTGCTAGTTCCCAATTCACATATAATACGGCTGGCCACGTTATTACCGGAGACCCCAACATTGTCAATAACACTTCCCTGCGAAATTTATTATCCAAAGGTCCGAAATATCATGAGCCTAAATCCATCAATTGGAAATACAACTTCAAAATACTGATGGATTCAGTCGAGGATTATGCCAGGCAATGGGCTTAACACGAGAAAGAAGACGTAGATACTCTTTCCGAATGGATTAAGGCTGTGAGGTCGTTGATACAAATCCGAATTAAGAAACTAAATGGGTCTATCAATACCCACGCTACGTCAATTTTTAAAAAAAGACCCAAATGTTGCAAAACACTTGTCCTACCTCCATGACAAACATGTTGTTGTCCCTGCAGATAAAGCCACAAACAACATCGTTTTTGTGTGTAAATATCATTACATAAACTGCTTGATAAACGAATTAGGTATTGACAATTCATTTGGAAACTCAACATATACCCTCACGACACTTACCAAAGTGGAAATCCTGGATAATCATAGGTCTGTTCAATGTTCCTTTGGAATTTCAACCAAAGATGAAGAACTGGATCTTCCATCACTGTATTGGATACCTAAACTGTATAGGTGTCCTTACAAACAATGGTATATTGCTGGGTCTTCCAAGTGCTCCACGAAACCTCTTTCTAAATTATTAACATCTATTTTATCAGCAATCGAGGCCGGGCTCCAAAGTTATTGTGAAACTGCCTATTCTAGAGGTGGCGTGAATCAGATGTGGATACTAAAAAATTCCAAAGATCTTTTAGAGTACATACAATCTAAGACTCTCTCATCTTGCAATAGTATTAAAACATATGACTTTTCTACACTTTACAGAAGTATTCCCCATTCCAAACTAAAAGACAAATTGAAAGAGTTGGTATTATTTTGTTTCATTAAAAAGAATGGCGAACGTAGATACAAGTATCTTGTCTTGGGGAGGGATAAATCCTACTTTGTAAAGAATCACTCTGATTCAAACAAAAAATTCTCTGAAACTGACATTATCAAGATGCTTGATTTCTTGATTGACAACATATTTGTTACGTTTGGAGGACGTGTTTTTCAACAGACTGTCGGAATTCCAATGGGAACCAATTGTGCCCCTCTTCTTGCCGACTTGTTTCTTTATTATTATGAGGCTGACTTCATACAGGAACTTCTTAGGAAGAAAGATAAGAAGTTAGCAATATCCTTAAACTTTACGTTCCGCTATATAGATGATGTTCTCTCGCTAAATAATACGAAATTTGGTGACTATGTTGAACGAATCTATCCCATCGAACAAGAGATAAAGGATACTACAGATACAGTTAAGTCTGCCTCATATCTTGACTTACATCTAGAAATTGACAATGAGGGTCGGTTTAAAAACAAATCTTTACAACAAAAGAGATGATTTCAGCTTCCCAATTGTGAACTTTCAATTTCTATGTAGCAACATTCGGAATATATATCTCCCAATTGATACGATATTCCCGGGCTTGTATTTCATATCATGATTTCCTTGATAGAGGATTGCTGCTCACAAGGAAGCTATTAAACCAAGAGTTCCAAATGGTGAAGTTGAAATCATTCCTTCGAAAATTTTTACGGACGCCATCACGAGTTGGTTGACCGTTATGGAATAACCGTTTCACAGATGATATCGGATATGTTCCTTATGTCGTAACTACAATACCCTATCCTTTTCACGAATGTGACCTACCGAATGAGACTATTTACCGGATTTGTAATAACATAAGCAACACGACGGGTGCCACATGTGGAGCAGGATCTGCTTACTCTTCCGGAGCACCTGAGATCACCCCCAGTTTTTGGTGGGGTTCGTGTTGCTTAGTCTTTAGTTTTCTATGTTGTGTCATCTGTACTATTATTTGTCTGTTTGTCTTTTTATATTTGGCCATGGCGTTGTCAGTTTGTTTTCAATCTTTGAGTTTGACTGTCCCTCTGGTATCTTTCGTCCCTCTTTTAGACTACAAGTATTACTGAATTACAAAACAAAATGAGAAAAATGTATTTGTATTTATTCCTAATTGAAATTTAGTCATGTTAATTGTCACCATGAGGTGTTATTCTACAAGGTTAGCTAGCAGATACAAGGTTAGCAGAATAATGGTTTCAATGATCTTCAAGGGATATTTCTAGTTTATTTCGCTTCAAACAAGTAGAAAAAGCGAGACTTAAGCCATGCTTGTTTCCAGTGGCAGCAATGTATTAGTTTGTGATTATGTCAGTTTATTATCAATTCATTGTTTTTGTTCTATGTATTGGTCATTTAATGTTTGTTTTTACTAGTTTAAAAGGCTTATATTTAGGGAATACGAAAATGATATTTGCAACTCGGTCTAGACGCCAATCAATCTTTTTACCTGACATTTTTGTGTTTTTTTAATCATTGGTTAATGGTTTTTTCTTTAGAATACACTGAAAATAAAAATATAAGAAGAGGTATACGGTAGCGCCATTGAAACACTTAAACGAAATTTGGTATAATTTATATTTTCATTAAAAAAAAATGACTCCAATTAAAATTATATCCTTCATTTGTTCCCGTTCTGATATGTCGTGCATCAGGATTATTTCGGTTCTTATACATCCCTGGCTGTGTGTTTTTCCTAATGAAGGTAAAACT